TACTACTACTACTACTACTACTACTACTACTACTACTACTACTACTACTACTACTACTACTACTACTACTACTACTATTACTACTACTACTACTACTACTACTACTACTACTACTACTACTACTACTACTACTACTACTACTACTACTACTACATACTACTACTACCTACTACTACTACTACTACTACTACTACTACTACTACTACTACTACTACTACTACTACTACTACTACTACTAATACTACTACTACTACTACTACTACTACTACTACTACTACTACTACTACTACTACTACTACTACTACTACTACTACTACTACTACTACTACTACTACTACTACTGCTACTGCTACTGCTACTGCTACTGCTACTGCTACTGCTACTGCTACTGCTACTGCTACTGCTACTGCTACTGCTACTGCTACTGCTACTGCTACTGCTACTGCTACTGCTACTGCTACTACTACTACTACTACTACTACTACTACTACTACGACTACTACTACTACTACTACGACTACTACTACTACTACTACTACTACTACTACTACTACTGCTACTGCTACTGCTACTGCTACTGCAGCAGCAGCACCACCACCACCACCAACAACAACAACAACAACCACAACCACAGCCAGCAACATCCACAACAACCTCCACCACCACAACAACAACAGCAACAACAACAACAACAATAACCACAACAACAACCTCAACTGCAGCAGCAACAACAACCACGACGGTAGCAACAGCAACCACCAAAACCACCACCACCACAACCACAGCAACAAGAACAACAACAACAACAACAACAACAACACCAACAACACCAACCACTACAACAACGACAACAACAACAACAAGAATCATAAGTTTCAAATGGTTCGCTCTTACCTGATCGCGTGCCCTCCAACATGCATATCCCAAACCCTCTGTACCCGCCATCTTCGTCTTTGATCGTACCCCCCTGGGAGTATATGTTCCTTACCTGCCGCGTGTAATTGGCGCAGCCCCTGAAACAGGGGAAGAGAGGACGGATGGAAGGGGGAGGGAGAAGGATGGAGCACGGGATTGGCAGGAGGGGGGCTACGAGCAGAAAACACGAGGCAGACTCAGACCGCCCCATCGGGCAGGTAGACCCTAACGAGTGGGTCGGGAAGGCGGGCCCAAGCGGCCAGGTCGAGAAGGCGTTTTGCTGAAGCGTGAGTACTGCATGAATCGCGAGGAGAACTCGAGCGATAGCACGATTCCCAAGTAAATCGTGAGAAAGGTCAAAGCGAGAGCGTGATTCCTGAGTGTCGGAGGCGCGGCACCTGAATACATTGCGAGGAAGTCCCACGCGAGTGCGCGACTCCTGCATAACTTGTGGGGAAGTCTCGCGCGAGACTGCGAGCTCGTAATAAATTGTGAAGAAGTATCGAGCGGATCCGTTGTCGTTGTAGTTCGGGGGCCAGGGACGCAGTTTGGTGACACCAAGCTTTCCCTGATAACAAGCAGGCAGGGTACGAGCCCCGAGGGGGGGGCACTCCAATTGAAAATTACAAGGGTTACCGGAGGGGGATCAACAATAATTATTCTTCAGAAATGAGGATCCAACAACAATAACAACAACAACAACAACAATCATTTAAGACTGGGGACACTCCGTTCTCACCAGTGCCAGGGTTTTCATAGGAGGCGGGCAATACCCCCACTTTGTGGGGGGGCCGGTTCAAGCTCTACCAAATTTCCAAACGACTCTTCGCCACCACCCACACCCAGCTTCCCGCCCTATGACGTTCGGACACTTCACTTCGTGGCATGCGGACGACCGTGGCTACTATTCAGGGCCCCGCGGCCGACGACGACGGCGTGCGCGCGCGAAGAAAAAACGAATGTGTCCAATATGGTATTATTTGACAGGGATGATGGCCCTGGCATGCGCGCAACCGTTGTTGCAGAAGTTCGAAGCACGTGAAAAAGTTGCTCGCAAGAGCCCGTTTGACAGAAATGTTGAAAAAATATTGGGTTTCCTCAGAAATCCGCAAGAGCGCGCAAGATGAATTTTTGAAACTTTTTTTTTGAAAAACCATTGGGTTTTTCATGTTTTTATGTTAAAATCGCTACGAAAACTAAGGTTTTGGAAGGATTTCATCTTGCGCGCGCGAGTGTGCACTTCGTGTCATTTTTTGCAAAGGATTCTTGAAGTTTGGTTATGTTAGAACAAGAGATTTCATTTTATAGTGTTTTTTGCAAGGGAAAGCGGGCGTCAACAAAACAACCGGATCTGGTATACCCCGTTTTGCCTGAGACTTCCTCACGAAAATGATGAAAATGTGGCTGCGGCCTAGGCGCGGCGGGGGGGTCGTGCACCAGGGGTCCCAACAATAATTATTCTTAAGAAGAAATAATGTTCAACAACAACAACAACCAACGGGGGAGAGGCGGGGAAACGCGGGGATAAAAGCGGGAGAACAGGGACAATAGTACTCATATTGTGTTGCATGTTGAGCTCAGGAGCTCAAGGATGGGAGGGTAGGGGGAAGCGGCATGTGCACGGGCGCGGGCGGGGCTGGGGGAAAAGGGAGGCGGGGGGGTAGGGGGGGAGAGGATGGGGGGAACAACGGGCGGGAGGGGAGGGGAGGAGAAGGAGGCGGAGGTGGGCGAAGGAGGGGGGAGAGGAAGAGTAAGAGGGTGGGGACGGGGCGGCGGGGCGAGGGAACACGGCCGCAGGCGAATCGATCCATTCCCCTCCGCCCACGGTCCCTTCCCGCCCCTCGACCGCCCTCGGTGCCCTGCTGTCCGCCCCCATCTGGGATCCTCACGGCCGAGGTGCCTTGCCAGACGACCGATCCCCCAACATACAATACGTACGTCGTGCCGTCCACTGTGTTTTGTCGGCCCCGTGGCCCGAGTTGGGCCTCCGCTGGCAGTCCTTTCCTTGGGACTGGCAAGAGAACGCTTCAGAAAGACTAGATGGCTTTCTCACTTTGCATGCCGCTGGAGGTCTGGATCGCAGCGCTCGTCTGACAACCTTGTCGCATCCACAAAGTCAGGGTTCCCCAAAACGTAGCCCCATGAGCGCGCGGCCCCGGCATCTACACTCGCCGATCCTCCTCTCGTCCTTTACTCATGCCTTTCCACTAATCCAGCTCGCGGGCTCAGGCGCACCGCCGTGGTCGGTGAAGGCGTCGCCAGGCAGTCGTACGGCAGGACTGCCATCGGAGTGCTGCGCGGGTGGATGCGGGACAACCAGAACACAAACACATGGACGAGGGCGAAGGGGAAAGAAAGAGAGAGCGAGAGAGAGAGAAAAAAAAAAAAAAAAAGACGCTCACCCACACACGCACACACTTTTTGGCAGTAGCGGCCTCGCGCGCAGCGACGAGACGGAGGAAAAGCAACAGTCTGAACACGCGCGCGACGACCAGGCCCTGAACAACTCTTAGGATGCGAACCTACCGGCATCGGCCATATGAGCATAGACAACAGAGAGGGAACACGCGACACCATGGGAGAGTCTCACCACAGCCGCATGATATTAGGAGAACGCCATAAACCTTCTGGGCGCGGACAGCGTGGAGACACCCGTGGTTGCCCGCGAGGCCACACGAGGAAAGCGAGCGAACACCGGCAAACGATCGTGGACGTGTGAAGAGACCGCAGCGGCTGCTGCCGCACCGACAAAGTTTGCCAGCGATGCAAAGTCGACGCAGTGTCCGTGCCCATCTTTTCCGAAAGTGCCAGTACAATTCCTACGGTGAGGCGTGGGCCCATCAAGCAAAGTGTACCCCTACCCGCCCCCAGAAGAGGCGGCCACAAACCGTCTGATGCAATACGCCCTCCAGGATCTTGACCAATGCCCTGTCTTCTGGTGCCGTGGGCTGATTCCCCTCTCCTGGTTGCAGATCCCTCCCCCTCCTCCTCCTCCTCCTCCTCCTCCTCCTCCTCCTCCTCCTTGTCCTCCGTCTCCTCCTCATCTTGCTCCTCCTTCTGTCCGTGAGCATGTCGGGGTCGGGCACAGATGTGGCCGCTTCTGAGTGGAGTTTTCGGAGTGGACAGCCGCAGAGGCACTTGACTCAAAACCCTCTCCTTAGGCCAGCCTCTTGGGGTTTTGAGAGGCTGGTCACTGGCGGACACGAGGGCCCCGACTGAGACTATGGAGGTACAAAAACCATCGATCGACCTAAGCAGGTTGTGCGAAAAGCAGTGCTGTTTGCGGCAGTTGAGTGTTTGCGAGCAGTCGACCCAGTGGCTGATCTGCTCCTTTGGTGTGCCCATATTTGTTTTACGAATTAGCGATTGTAACTCTGGTGCATCTCTGTACGCATTCGTAGATCCCCCTTTGTAATTACGCAATCCTTTCGCAAGTAGAGGTCATGACGCTGCGGATGTCGTGTGTGGTACCCTCCACGTCTTTCTCCGTAAGATGTTCCAGCTCGCTGAGTTTTGCCGCTAACGACTCGAAGTCCACTGGGCTGATGTGTGGCTCCAGCTTGGTCAAATCCACAGCCCTGCGAAACTGGTGAACCTTGGATGTTATGACTTTGGGGAGCGGGAGTCGGATCCTGGAACTCTCCTCCATGTCGGACACCACGGCGGCGAGATCTCGGCATAGATCAGCAAGACAAGCATCAGCTCGAGGGAGGGCAGCGACAACGTCATCGTCAAAAACATCGGCGCCATCGACATCACGCGGAGGGAGAGGACCATCAGCCGTCTCGTCAACTCCTGGAGGCGAGTCGTCAGCAGCGACATAGGAAACGATGAATTTGACTATCGAGTGCCCGTCGGAGTGTGTGCGCCCCCGGACAGCAACACTAACTTGCTCCGATCCTGCAGCCTGTGCCAACCAAGCGAGGCTCGCATGACTAAATTGCTGCACGTGCGGAGGGATGTGAACATGCGGGTAGATGTGCACCGTGATCACGTCGTGGTGCAGTTTCGGGTGCGAGGCCGCCGAGATCACAAGCTTGGCGCCGTAGCTCAGCATCGCCTTGAGATATTGGATGCGCTGCGCAACAACCATGGCGCGGGACCTGGGGAGAGGGAAAGCGCCGGGCGCAAGTGCGCCGAGAAGCCACGAGCTCAGCAAGTGCTTGAGCCAAAATGGCTACGCCTTCGGTGTGCCCATATAGACCTCGCCCGCTCCTTAGAAGCTGGGTCAGGCTGATTTACGGCGCGAACTGTTCAAACTCTTCAACTGGGCGCAGTGGACATTTTGAGTTGCAGGACGTGCCCTTCCATATGGCCGAGGATGAAAGAAAGTGTGCCCGTCTAGCCCCCTCGTCTCCTGCAAGGGCCATGTCAGTAAATGCCGCTGCCGACGGACTAGCGGAGTCCAGGGCCGAGTTGGTCCCCAGATTTCCAGAGATGCCTGCAGGAGGGCTCCTGCCACTGTGGCCCTGTGCGCAGAGCGTGAGTAAAACGTGTCCTCCTCGGAGGGGTGCGTCCGACCCGAACATATACTATAACCATCTTGTAGCACGCACATCGTTTCCCGAGCAGCACGGCCAGGGAGCGCCCTCCACCGAGCATACACCATACGAGTTCTCGGCGAGCGCACCTCCCAGTTGAGGGCGACGCACACGTAGTACTAGTATGCTTGTTTGACGCCGAGGGCATCCTCCAGCGCAACGCTCCTCTGGCCAGCCGCGGCGCGCGCCGAGGCGCGCGCGCGGAGGCGCGCCCGCGGGACCCGCCCGACTCTTCTCGGGAATCCGCCCGCGGCTGGAGGTGCCGCGCCTGCGGCAAGGCGAGATCGTCCGCAGGACGATGGCTCGGGCGAGGCCTGACCGACCCCCGCCGTGTCGAGCACCTCCCGCGACGTCCCCCGCGCCCTCCAGGCCTCCCTCCGGCCGCATGCGCACGCCTCGGGGGGAGGCGAAGGGGACGTCACGGAAGGGGATGGCTTGCTAGGGGTCGGGTGCTTGCCCGTCTCAGGAGCCACTGTCCAGCCAAACCCTTGCCCGCCCCCCCCCCTTCCGCCCGTCCCAAGGGCCTCATATGTCGAAGGAAGCGGGGGCGCAGGACCCGCCGATTGGGGGGAGGGAGGGGAGGCAGGGAGCGCGGCGGGCGGGAGGGGGCAGCTCTGAGCGTCTCGTGCCTCGGGCTTCCGCCGCTTGACGAGCATCGGTTCGCCCACCCTGGAATGTCTGATCCGCCAGCCAGGGTAGGGCCATGCGGGGAAGTTGATGCGCCGCTCCCACGTCACTTGGGGGACAGGCGTGTCCCATTCCGTGGGTGTGCGGCAGATATGCCGACTCCAACTCTGTGCGGCACGTTTTGGTGCCCATCGCTCGGTCAGGGCTCAGTCTTGCACCCAGGCGTTCAAGGAAGGGTAAGCCGCCAAAGTGTGGAGTGCCTGACTGGGGCCAGTCTTTCGGCGATGAAGGAGACAGTGCGGCATAGTGCTGCCCATGCCTTCTTGCTCCCTCCTCTTTGTGGGAGCGGTGGTTAACTCGCGATTCCGTGCCCTGGTCTCGCGCAGATGCGCGGGCGGATTGCCTCTGCGGCGCTGCGACTTAAAAAGTGTGTGGGAACGGCGGATCTCGTGCCGAGGACCAGTTCCACCCCGCGTCTCGGTTTCAGCTTGCTGATGCTAGTGGTCCCAGCTGCTTCTGCCAAAAAACTCCCCTTCATCCACCTCCTCTCTCTCATCCCTCTCCCACATGGGCACCCCTGGGAACCGGCAACAGGGCCCGATTCAAGAAGGCCTGGCTTCCACGATGGGAAGCGGCGCCATCTCCGCTGATCTACCTTCTCCTACACGCTCGAGCGGGGCCGCACGCGCGAAACAGACTAGGTGCAACGAACCCCTGCGGCGACCTCGGACACTCCACCTCCTCGGGACCACCGCCCCCGCCCATCCCTTCACCCCTCCCCCCTCGTCCCCCACTCCTCCTCCCCCATCCTCCCCGCGCCTCCTCCCTCCTCCGCGACCTCCCCCTCTCCTCCCTCCCCTCCTCCCCCCCCGCCCTGGAGGACGTCAAACAGGGGGCGCCCAAGAAGGGGATTCGCAAGTCGTGACCCGAGGCACGTGCGCGGCCCAGGAGGGGACAGGGAACGTGTTGAAATAAAAACAATATTAACAACAACAACAACAACAACAACAACAACAACAACAACAACAACAACAACAACAACAACAACAACAATCATCATTTAAGACTGGGGACACTCCGTTCTCACCAGTGCCAGGGTTTTCATACGAGGCGGGCAATACCCCCACTTTGTGGGGGGGCCGGTTCAAGCTCTACCAAATTTCCAAACGACTCTTCGCCACCACCCACACCCAGCTTCCCGCCCTATGACGTTCGGACACTTCACTTCGTGGCATGCGGACGACCGTGGCTACTATTCAGGGCCCCGCGGCCGACGACGACGGCGTGCGCGCGCGAAGAAAAAACGAATGTGTCCAATATGGTATTATTTGACAGGGATGATGGCCCTGACATGCGCGCAACCGTGGTTGCAGAAGTTCGAAGCACGTGAAAAAGTTGCTCGCAAGAGCCCGTTTGACAGAAATGTTGAAAAAATATTGGGTTTCCTCAGAAATCCGCAAGAGCGCGCAAGATGAATTTTTGAAACTTTTTTTTGAAAAACCATTGGGTTTTTCATGTTTTTATGTTAAAATCGCTACGAAAACTAAGGTTTTGGAAGGATTTCATCTTGCGCGCGCGAGTGTGCACTTCGTGTCATTTTTTCAAAGGATTCTTGAAGTTTGGTTATGTTAGAACAAGAAATTTCATTTTATAGTGTTTTTTGCAAGGGAAAGCGGGCGTCAACAAAACAACCGGATCTGGATGACATCGTTTTACCTGAGACTTCCTCACGAAAATGATGAAAATGTGGCTGCGGCCTAGGCGCGGGGGGGGGGCGTGCACCAGGGGACCCAACAATAATTATTCTTTAGAATTAATAATGTTCAACAACAACAACAACAACAACAACAACAACAACAACAACAACAACCACAACAACCATCATCATCATCACCACCACCACCACCACCAGCATCAGCAGCAGCATCATCATCATCACCATCACCACCACCACCACCACCACCACCATCATCATCATCATCATCATCAGCATCATCATCAGCATCATCATCAGCATCATCAGCATCATCATCATCAGCAGCATCATCATCATAATTAGCAGCATCATCATCATCATCATCATCATCATCATCATCAGCAGCAGCAGCATAATAATCATCATCAGCATCATCATCATCAGCATCATCATTAGTAGCATCATCATCAGCAGCAGCATCATCATCATGATCATCATCATCAGCATCATCATCATCAGCATCATCAGCATCACCATCAGCAGCATCATTATAATCATCATCATCATCAGACTCATCAACATAATCATCATCAGCATCATCATCATCATCATCATAAGCAGCATCATCATCAACATCATCATCATCAGCATCAGCATCATCATCAGCATCATCAGTATCATCATCATCAGCATCAGCATCAGCATCATCATCATGATATGCATCATCATCATCATTATCATCATCATCAGCAGCATCATCATCATACTAATCATAACAACCATACGAATAAAAAATAATAATAATAATGCGATTCATGATACGAATAATAAAAATAAGAATACGAATACGAATACGAATGATAATAATACTAACAATAATTCTAATAATAACAACAATAACAATAATGATAAACAATTAATACTTACAACAATGGTATCAATAATAGTACAAGTAATGATACAATTAGTACTACAAATAAAATAACAATCATAAATGAATTAATAAATGTATGAAGAAATAAATAACTAGATAAAAAAATGTTACGAAATGGAACAAGAATAAGAATCAGACTACTACTTATACTACTACTAATAAAAAAATAATTATAATAGTTATCATAACAATAATAATACGAATAATAATACCAATACTACTAGTCAGAATACGAATAATACGAATAATAATACTAATAATACGAATACTCATACTAATACTGATACTGATACGGATACTAATACTAATAATAACCATAATGATAATCATAATAATAAGACTCAGGCTAATAATAATACAAATAGTGAGTGATAATAATGATAAATGACTAAAAGCATAACGGAATGAAACAAATAATGATACAAATACGGGTAATAATAATAATCATAATACTACGAAAGTTACTACTAATAATAGTATGGGGAAGCCAAGAAATCTAGGCAGAGATCATGCTCATGGCCACGATATCCACACACACACACACACCTCTAGACCCCACCATCATCTTCGACGCCTGGTGGCCTTCGGGTCGCAGCTCGGGCCTCCAGCGGCCGATCGGGACAACCCGAGCACCACCAGGAAGGCCCTTGGCGGGGCGCAGCTGCTGGAGCGTCAAGAACCAACTCCCCGTCCCTCCCCCTTCGACACTCCCATTATCCCTTCCCCTCCCCTCCTACCTTCCCCTCCCCTCCTCCCTTCCCCTCCTCCCTTCCCCTCCTCCCTTCCCCTCCTCCCTTCCCCTCCCTTCCGATCCCCCCTCCCCCTCCTCCTTCTTCGACGCTCCCTCATCAAGAACCAACTCCCCTCCTCCCTCCTCCCTCCCCCTCCCCTCTTCGACGCCCCCCTTCTCCCCGCCTCCCCCAGCAGGCGGCCGCCCCCCGACCCCTCGCGCGGTCCCAGGGCTGCGCGCGGCGGCGCCCGCCTCGGCCGCGGCGCCGCCACGCGCTGCAGCGGCAGGCCCCGGGGGGCCGCCACGCCGCCAGAGGGCGACGAGGGCTGGGCGCCGTGCACGACGCCCGCGGCCCGGAGCCCACCGCTCGAGGGCTGAGGCGCGGGAATCTCTAGGGGGTTTGAAGCGCTTGCCCGTTTTTGCGTAAGCTGAGCATGATCTTAGGGTGGAGGGTTCAGGGTGACATCCATATGGGCGTTTGCACCTCGAAAATCAACCCGCCTTGTGATTCACCTCTTGCGGATCCAAGCCTCGAAAATCCATCGAAACGGCATTTCAGATTTCACCCGCTGCCCTCCACCCGAAGGAAAAGCTCGCGTAAGACAAAACCAGGACTGGGACAGGATCGGACCCGCAAAGGGTGGGGACCTCGGAGATCTGGCGGCCCTGGGGGGTGCATCCGGCAACGCGGCCGTTCCCGAGCGCTCCCAAACGAGCGCTCCAGGAGCGCTCCAGAACGCTCTGGAGCGGTTTACTTCGGCCCCGGGCCCGCCCGGCGGCGGGCCTCCAGTCGGACCGGATCAGTAGATCGACCCTGCCAAATCAAGGGTACCTTTTTGTCCTGAGTCTCGCGACCCATGCCTCCTGCGTTCAATCTGGCCCTCGGAAGGGTCTTTTGTCCTCTCGCGTGTCCTGTCCAATGAAGTCCGACTGCAGGGGCGCCCCGGAAGCCCAGCCAGAGCACGCCCCAGGCGCGCCCAGAGCACCGCTGGCTTTTCGCAAACTGGGGCATCCCGAGTCCCCTTTGGGACCCGGGGAGACCCCGTCGGCGTGTGCGATGGGCTTTCCCGTTCGCGTCGTCGTCGCCGTCATTCGTCGTTCATCGTCGTCTCTGTCGTCGTCCTTCCCTGCGGTTTCCTTTCCCCGTGCCCGTCGCCGCTCCTCTCTCCTGTCTGGGGCTCTCCTCCTCGAGCGCGTCAGCCAAAGCGAAATTCAGCAACGTCGTCATACACCCGAAGAGAAGCCCCCTCCCTTGAATCCCTCCCCCGCCGGGAGGGAAGGGTCCCGGGTCCGGACCCGGGGGGGGTCCCAGACCCCGACCCGGGTCCGGTCCTGGGTCTAACACGCTTCCCCTCCGGGGGCTCCCAGGCAACAAAAAAAAACCTCGAGACGGACCAAGAGTGCCCCAAAGCTCCCCAAGACAGTCCACGAGGGCCCCGAATCGCCGAACGATCTGTCCAAGACGCCTGGACGGCCTCCAGACGCTCATCCCAAGAGTGCGCAGAACAAAAATCGTAGACTTTCCATCGGTTTTTGAACGATTTCGGCGCTCTCGCCTCTTCCGCTTCCCGACGCTCCAAGACGGCCCAAGCGGCCTCTCATATCGCCCCCAAACAGCCCCAGAGGGTTTCACGAGCGATCCAAAACGGCCCAAGAGAGTTACAAGACGGCCCGAGACGCCCCCAAAGGGCCCCAGAGGCCCTCAAGACGGCTCCAAGACGGCGCCGAGACGACGGACCAAAACGGACATTTCGAGCCCTCCGCCCCGAGTGCTCCCAGGAGAAACCAAGAGGCCCCCAAGAAGCCCCGAAAAGACCCCAAGATGCTCCTGAGATGCCCCGGGGAAGCCCCAACAGGCCCCCAAGAGGCTCCCAAGAGACCCCTACTCTGTCCCCGGGGCCCCCAAGAGCGTTTCGACCAGACCCCAAGAAGTATCCCTGAGGACTCTGATCCACGTCAGCGTCGTCGTCGTCGTCGGCAGCCCCACGGTGTATACATAGTAAAGTGGTTGCCGCGTTGCCCTTTGTCCTGGTGGCGACACACCACCCCTATCCTGGTAGATGGCGAATCCATGGCGACTCATCCGCCATCCAGCTCCTAATCCCTCCTCCTCCTGATTATCTCCCCTCCTCCCTCCTTTTCCCCTTCACCTTCATCCCCTCCGAACCCCTCTCCTCCTCATCCTCCCTCCCAGCCCTTGGCTTTTTGAATAGTTTCATCGTCGCTGTCTTCGTCGTCGTCCCCCATTCAGGGTCGGCGGCACCGGCCGCAAGGCCTTGGCAATCACAACGCACGGCTGGCTTGTCCTGGACTTGGGCCTCCAGGGTCCCCTCTGGGCCCCGGGGACCTTCGTCAAGCAGCCCGCGACGGCAAGACTGTTCCAGGGGGGGGGTCGAGGGCTCCTGGAGCCCAGGTCGTGAGACAATCCCGACGTGGGAGGTCAGGGCACTGCGCCATGGCTGTCCAAGGCCTGCCCTTGCGCGCCAGTCGATCGACTCACTCGCGTAGCCCGGACAGCCGGATCGAATCGGACCCCATCGTCGAGGGGGAGTCGCCCTCGGGGCTGCGAACCCAAATCGATCGGCGAAAGGCGCAGGCATCGGCACGCATCGCCGACGCGGTCAGATCGTGCACAGCCCTCCCGCGGCTTGCCACGGCCTGTCTGCGTCGGGTCCCTTGCTCTTTCTGGGCCCTGTTCCTTGCGAGGCCAACGCGGAGTAGAGGACCAATGGCGCGGTCAGTGATCGGGGGAGGCAGGCTCAGCGCCGACCCCAAGAAATCTGCACGAACCTCCGAAAGTTGATGATAATGCTGCCCCCTCAAACGCATCGGGGCCAGCAGACGTCAAGTTTTACCTCAGGTACCCAAGGTGCAGCCCTCCCCCGCCTATTGAAGGTGAATGCTGCAAGTATGCTGTATACTCCTGACTGGAATCGACAAGCGCAGGTCGACGTAGACGAGGGAAGACCACGACGTCATCGGCGCATGTTCCTCCACTTGGCCTGCCCGCTGCTAGGATCCTCATTCTGGCAGCTATCGCCGAGCAGGCACCTGAATAGGGTACGAGCCAAGTGTGACCCCCCCCAAGCCCCCAACGTTCACAGCGCGGTGAGGGATACGCGCGGCAGCGCAAATGGATACTGGATCGAGGAACCAGCCGCGGCCGGAGACGCAGCCATCGCCCTCGGGGTTGGGTGACATATTTCAAATATGGCCAGATGGTAATGAGGGTCTAGGTCGAGGGGATTACAGAGCACACGGGCCTGAGCTGAACTCCCACCACCACCACCACCACTGCCATCATCATCATCATCATCAGCAGCAGCAGCATCATCATCGTCATCATCATCATCAACATCAACATCATCACCAGCATCATCCTCATCCACATCCTCATCATCATCATCATTATCATCATCAGCATTATCATCACCATTGTCATCATCATCATCAGCAGCAGCACCAGCATCATCATCATCATCATCATCATCATCAGAAGCATCATCAGCATCATCAACATTATCATAATCATCATCATCACCACCACCACCATCGCCCCTATCATCATCATCATTACCATCCTCATCATCCTCATCATCCTCATCCTCAACATCATCCTCATCATCAGCAGCACCATCATCACCATCATCAGCAGTATCATCATCAAAACTCTCAACAACATAGACATCACCAACCTAGTCATCCTCATCGTCGTCGTTATCATCCATATCGTCGGCGGCGGCACCACGATCATCCACCTCATCACCATCATCCTCCTCCTCCTCCTCCTCTTCCTCCTTCTCCTTCTCCTCATCCTGCTCCTCCTCCTCCTCCTCCTCCTCCTCCTCTTCCTCCTCCTCCTCCTCCTCGGCTACCGAACGAGAGGACAGAGACGGGCCAGCAAGCAGCAGCAGGGCGAGACCCCAGTCCGTCTTCGACTTCACAACTCTTCAACCAAATGCGGCCTCCAGGGTTCAAGGAAAGCCTTCTGTTGAGACCGGTCCTGGGGCCACCTGGGTACGCGAGCGCCGTGGGAGGGGAGGGGTAGAAGAGGGGAGGAGGAACAGGAACAAAACCAGAAGGCGGAGGTGGCGGACGCGCGGCCGGGGGACCTGCGCCACCGACCCCCCCCCCCCCTTAGGCGCGCGCGAGCCCGCCAAGCAGCGGGAAGGAGAGGTGAAAGAGGAGGGGGAGGGAGGGAGCAGACAGACGCGGTCGCTTGATGCAAGCGTAGGTCGATTTTGGACGTACCAGCCAATCCTCGATTATAGGCTGGTCCCCGATGTTGCTGTCGCCACGAGACTACCAACATCACACGAGACTGCCAACTGTCAGCATGACAACATGACAACTGTACTCTTCCTCACCCTCCTCACTTTTCTCCTCCTCCTCCTCCTCCTCCTCCTCCTCCTCCTCCTCCTCCTCCTCCTCCTCACCCCCCCCCTCCCCCTCCTGCTACGAGCACCCCTGGGAACCATGGGTCGAGGTGTCAACAGCAACGGCAGGCAAGACCTACAAGATTTAGAGAGATGGTGGATTAAGCAGCATGGTCATCCCCAAAGCAATCCCAACCATGCCCTAGATAGAAAAGGCCCAGGGGGGAAAAAGGCTGCCAACTAAGGGCGCAGGTCGCCCCAATCGATCCCAGGCTCGGATGGGGGGGGAAGGCCGCGTACTGTTTTCTGATCGCGGCCGCAAGGAGGCGGCAGAGAAAGGGTGGGTACTGTTTGACCGCCTGGCCCTGTTTTGCCTCGTTCGGCTCGAAGGATGGCGGTTTGAAGAGCCCCGAGGTTCGCGACGCTGGCCAGGGGGATCTCCGGGGGAACCTCGAGGGAAACTTGGGAGTTGTAGCATAAGCAGAGATTGCTGAGGCTTTGTACCTTTGCATGTCACTGCGAAGCACATTCCCGCTGTCATCGGTGCGCACCGGGAAACCGTCGGAGCAACATATTCCTGCCTTGCCTCCAAACCTCTGACAGGCGCGTGCCATGCGCCACTCTTGTTTGGCCTGGCCGGAGTCAACATACTCGGAAAGCTCCTCGCCCATCGCAATGACTCCAGCAGCGCGGGCACCCTTGAGGATGGCCCTGAGGACCCTGTGGGAACTCCTAAGAAAGGTTCCCATGGCAGAGAGCACGGCTTGCAAGGAAGTCGGACCGCGGCCGAAACTGGCGGACGGGGCAACGGAATCAAGCGTCAGTGCGCGCATGCTGCCGGGGAGTGCATAGACGTCAATCACGTTGGCGGCGCAGAGAACACCATGTAATGATATTGGCTTGTAGTCCTTCTTTTTGGTAGACCTCATGATCTGCCTTATCCTGCACCAGAACCTGATAACAGGCATAAGCTCATCAACGATGTATGATTTGTTGGGGGTGATGGGATCCGAACGGAAAGCGATCTGAGCAGCCCCGTTGAGCACGTTAGCCACCCGCTGAAAATGCCCGTTGATGTTGGTAGGGGCCTGCCTGAGCAACATAGCAAAGCTGATTCCCTGCGGGGGATCTTCCATGAGGTCCGCCTTAATAGCGTTGTTACCCATAGCAATGCTCTTGGTATACTCGGCGAAAAACTAGCAGCAGAAAGGGCAGCAATCGGCCTTGCCACGCTGGATGTCGCTATCCAAGCACAGGCTGGAGGTTAGGAGGCTAGGAGGCTAGCACCGGCTGGATGTCTTGAAAAGAACAATCAGAGGCTAGGAGGTAATCGGAGCGATGATCACTACCATTATGCGCCGCCCAAGTGCAACCTTTATCGTCTCCGTCTATGAAGGGGGGCGTCGACCGCGTGAAAGATGGTTGCCTCCAGGAATGTTGTAAACATCTCGCCTGAGCTGTCCAAGGCTGCAAGAATCCCACTCTGCCAATCCTGTCGGAGGAGCTCGCGCTGCCTATCCGAGCGCTGGCACGGGCGAAAACAACGCCCACCTCGCGGGCGGCGCGAAGCTCGCCGATGTGGCCCCACCACTCCTGCCGAGCACTGAAGGTCCCCTCACTGCAAGGGGCCCGGCCTGAGGCCACCGCCATTCTTAGGAAAGGGGCACCCAATTTGAGCGCAACATCGCGGGGAAGCGTGGACCACCAAACAGTGCATCGTTCGAATGTAGAACTCCCTTTCACCAGCTGCCCCAAAAGGGGGGGGTGGCCGTTGATCCGCACTTCACAATCCAGATTTCCCTCGGCGGGGGGGCGCGAAACAGTGCAAGAGAACGCCGGCAAGGCGGAAACCCTCGTTGTTTCTCCCCTCGTGGACGCCTGCTACGAGCACTGTCATATCCACGAACTGATGGCGCATGAGGACGGAAGAGCGCCCAGCCGCAGATGCACGCAAGCCCGGTGGGTCTCTCGCAGGGGAACTGCCCCCGTCCATAGCTGTGAGAGCGTTAAAACTGACTAGAGAGAAATCATCAGTGAGGAGTCGCTTGATCCGATCGATCGGTTCGGAAGATCCGAGCCCCATCGTCAACGGGATAGGCCCATCTCCGAGCGGGATCGAGGTGATGAACCCATTCCCAATCGAGTTGGCCCGAGTGTCTGAGCTGATCGATGATCTGACCAGGGGGGAAGCTGAGCTATAAACCTTCATCGCCAGCGGCCGAGTCTGCTAGCTCGGTCCAGGGACTGCCCGAATGAGCAGAAACATGAAGCACTGCGGTGGGGATCTCCGCCGAGACTGGAAAGCACGGGTGCCGAGCGACTGCGGCCTTGTCTCTGAGAGCCGAGCAAACGTGAAAACTTTAACAGAGGCATAAGGCCAAGGTTCCCCAGAACCCAGCCCTGGCAAATCCAAACGAGCGCCAAGACGACCCCACGGAGCTCGCACGAGGTGGCATAGTCAATGCCAGGGAGGAGGTCCCAAGGAGCCGAATCCAAAAACCGAACCCTTGAAGCGGCGGCGGTAGCTGACGCTATCGGATCCCGAGCACGTAAATACAAAGGCCCAAGTTGCTTGGCCCTCCTTCTTGCGATGTGAGCAGCCCATGTAGACGCTGATCTTCTCGCCGAAACTGAGCCCCGTTTTCCGGCGACGTCGGGCGCCATGAGCGCTGCTGGATGGCAATGGCTGGATGGGGTGGCATCGGTCAAAATCGGCTTGCTGGCTCGGAATTGGCCTCGTAAATCGCGCGCTCAAGTGATGCGACATCTCGATTGTGAGGGTGGGGAGTAGGAAGCATGCCACTGGGGGGGGGTCTCGGGACCTCCTGAGCAAGGCGACACATACGTCAGCAAAGCGAGTGCTGGCAAAGACGAGAGCGTCGCTGAGCCTCACCTGAGCCTGCGAGAGACCACTGATCAGGGCCAAAGTGCGAGGGCAAAACGGACACTCGCAATCGGGGGGCCCGCAGTGCCCTGAGGTAGGGGGAGGAGTAGCAGAAGCGGCGGAGCTGGAAGGCTGCGTCATCTGAACGAGCATTGATTTGACAGGCTGCGCGATGGGACTACACGCTGGCCCTCCAACACTCGATCCTGGAACAGAACACCTGATCAGTACTTAACCCAGGGAGGTCGCTTGCGCCGTCGCAGTAGATGATCAGGAAGCTCGTCAACTACAGCACGTCCTCCAACCTCTGGCACTTGCGCGGGGGAGTATTGGCCTACCGGCGTAGCTGAGCCGCTCGTCGGCACTGGCACCACTGATACACCCGCTGCCCCTGTGACCGACGCCCCTGGACCTGGTAGTAGCCCCTGCTGTGATCCCATGGCCTGGGTAGGATCGATTGGCCCCAAGTAGGACGCGGGCCCCGATAGGGCCGCCGCTGGCTTCCATGCCTGCGCAGGCGATGGGCACCGCGGGACCAAGGGCTCTCCTCTCGGGGCATCCTCTTCCTGAGTGGAGGGAACGTTGATGACTGACACGCCCTCTGCCACTCCTGGTGGGTCCTCCGTCCTCGGCGACAAAGGTGCAGGCGTCGAGGTGCCCCCAATCTGGGTCGGAGGCGTGATCGGCGAGGTGAGCTGGTCCTTCTTCATCCCCTGCTTTGTCTGATCCTGATCGACTGCCTCCTGGGCGGCCATTGTGATTTGGGTGCTGCGGGTGACTCCAATCCACATGACCTGCACGGCCGAACTTGTAGACTGGGGCCGCTCCGAAGCCATGTGAGCCTGCTGTTGGGGGTCCTGGAAGATTGACGGGACCTCCTGGATTCGCAGCCTGATGAACTGGAGCCGCGTGAGGCTCGGTTGCCGACGGCGCTGTCTGAACCTGCGCTGTTCCCAGAGACCCGATGACGCTCGCGATGCGTCCCATGGCTTGGCCCAACCTGTTCTGATTGGAAGTCAATGTGTACAACATCTGAACCAACTGCGGATGGGCGGAGGGGCCGGCATGTTGCCCTGCGCCAGCTGTTGTGGGACATGCTGCTGCATGCCCACCTGATGTTGGACTGCCGCGGGCGCCGCCTGGGGCGCGGCCTGCGGGGGGAGCTGCTGGGTTGGCTGACCCTGCTGAGGGTGCGCTGCCCAGGGGGCGGTCCTCATTTGTCCAGCAGCTCGCGGCCCATGGTGCTGGTGAAGAGGTTGCTGCTGATCGCCGTCTGCGCAATACATATCCTCGTCCTCCATGACGTGCTCGAGCTGCTGGATGCCACCCTCGATGGCGTATATCTCGTCGTCCAGGCATGTACGGGACTCCTCCATCTCTCGAATATTGATATGGAGTCCCTTGCGCCTGTCTATCGCCCTCTGCAACCTTGCCTCGGCCTCCAGGATCTGCTGGCGGCAAAAGGCTGAGAGCCGAGAGCGTGCACTTGACCATGGCAATATGTTCCGTCGCTGCTACATATTCTGCATCTGCTTGTTGTGCCGCGAAAACTGCCGACCCTGGGGCCTGCATGCGGAAATTGAGCGTGTCGCAGAAGGTGGGGTATTTCTGTGCTTCTGGAGGGAAACACAAACCTGAGATGAGTTGCAATCGCTGTGGTGGCTGGCTGGATCTTGGATAACACCTGCTGAATCTGCGACGTGTTCATCTGCATTGCGTTGTCGTCGAGGCCGCTGCGGCGTTCCTCGCCGCGTCGGCCAGGGGTCCTCGCCCTGTGGCCTGAGCCGCCGTCCCTGCCCTTGCCTTTGCCCGTTGGAAGCGGAACCTGATTGTGGGAGTTGGCTCCGCAAAAGCACGTCTCGTAGCGGAGCTTGTCGTACCGACCGCAAGGGCACCACCAGACTGACACACCGTGGCCTGCCATGAGGCCGAGGGAGAAAATCTGTGGAAGTCGTGGCCGAAAAGTGCCCACCTGTTGGGCAAGAAAAACTGAGCCTTGACCCCTCCCTGCTGGAGGCGAGACCAACTGAACAGGGAAATGGCCTTGAGCCCGAGCTACGGTCCCCCCTCTTCCTCCTCCTCCTCCTCCCTCCCCCTGCCCCCTGGGAATAGTACCCGGGCATAAATATGTGATCTGTGCGCCCCATCTGAAAACGGGCGAAAAAGGGAGGGGGGCAGAGAAGGAACAACGAGATGGACGCACTCCGTCCTTTAGAAATCAGTGGCCTTCCTCGACCAACCGAACCTGATTGCTCAGTTACATTGAAACTTCCACAACTAGGTCGAAGCAACGTACCACCAGCATATTGCAGGTGATGAAATCAAAGGTGGGATCCTCGAAGAACCGTGCTCCCCGCTAATTGAGGCTGGCAACGAAAAAGGCCACATCGGCATCTGGCGAAACTGAACCCGCGAGGGGGGATAACGTCGGGCCCGCAGATGTCTGTCAAGAAAAATCAAAAGGGAAGGGGAAGCTCTTGTGATCACCACTCAAAATCGGGCGGACGGCAACTACACACCACGCCGATCCTGGCCAGCCCATTCCCAGGCCCAGGATCCGTATATGCCTCCCCTCCTGGCTTGGCCAGGAAGGCACATACACCTATCCTGGGACCAGGAGTGCACGAGAACAGTAAGGGGTACTGGTGCAGGAGGGAGAGGACATTGACCTGGAATCGGCGATGCATCGCCGATAGATCGGCGATAGAATGGGCCCCGATAGCAAAACCGAACGTCCTTGTGCGGGGTTGGGCACCCAGGGCCCGGCCGGGCGACCTAGTGGCGATTGAGAGTCGATGCTTCGCCCCCATGGGCCAGCCCCCAGCCCCAGGTCGGTGTCCCTGAATGGTGGGCCCGCCCAAATCCGCTCAAAATCAGTCACCAAACCCCTTCTGGGGTCCATCCTGACACCGTTTTCCAAGCAGATCCAGCCGTGACGACGAGCCCCTCCAGAGGACCCAAAAGGGTCGAAAATGCCAGGACGGGCCGCCGTTATAGAATCGGCGTGGTGTGTGTGTGGGGGGGGGGGGAGTGGGGGGGGGAGTGTGTGTGTGTGTGTGTGTGTGTGTGTGTGTGTTTGTGTGTGCATGTGTGTGCATGTGTGTGCGCGTGTGTGTGTGTGTGTGTGTGTGCATGTGTGTGCATGTTTGTGCATGTGTATGCATGTGTGTGAATGTGTGTGTGTGCATATGTGTGCATGTGTGTGCATTTGTGTGCTTTTGTGTGCATGTGTGCATCTGCGTGTGTATGTGTGCGTATGTGCGTGTGTCTCCGAGCGTCTGTGCGTCTGTGTCTGTGTGTTGTGTGTGTGTGTCTGTGTGAGTCTGTGCGTGTGTGTGTGTGTGTGTCTGTGTGTGTGCGTCTGAGTGTGTGTGTGTGTGTGATTGTGAGTGTGTGTCTGTGTGTGTGTGTCTGTGTGTGTGTCTGTGTGTGTGTGTCTGTGTGTGTGTCTCTGTGTATGTGTCTGTGTATGTCTGTGTGTGTGTCTGTGTGTGTACGTGTCTATGTGTGGGTATGTGGGTGTGTGGGTGCGTGCGTGCGTGTGCGTGCGTGTGTGCGTGTGTGCGTGTGTACGCGTACACTTACCGTCCTCCGATTTTACAGCTGCGATCCCCCCAAAATTACGGGTCTCAGACACGGCCTGCCTCTGCACGAAGCCCGGCGCGGCGTGCAGCTCCGCCGGAGCGGTTAGCAGCTGCTGCCTGCGGCCCCCGGGTCCGAGGGAGGCGACGGCGAGGAGCGGCGCGTGCGCTTCCCTTCCTGTCTCGACCAGGCTGAGCCGAGTCGGCGGGCCCCCCTGAAGAGGGGCGCAAGGCTGTGGAGTGTTCCTGCCCTGCGTTTTCTGTGCCATCTCTTGCTCGCAGTCCTGCTTCCCCAGCTGGTGGGGTGACGCGAGGCGTCTGAAATTGTCCTGCTGGGCTGCTGCCCTGCGTTCTCTGTGCCGTCTCTCGCTTGCTGCCCCCCACCTCTCCAGTCCTGCCTCCATATTCCTGTCTACTACGGGGGGGGCCTGCGGCGCAGGAAAGAGACACCTGGGGAGACTCAAATTCTTGGCGGCTCCAAGGTTCCCCTGGATCCCCACAGGGACGCCACAGCACGTCACGGCCATGAGGGCACAAGAGGCCTCGGAGATGGCACCTGGGGCCCAAGCGGGCCCCAAGACGCCACAAGATGGCCCCCAAGATGCCGCAAAAGGGCCCCAAGAAGATCCGCAAGAGAGACCGCGGAAGCTAACATCATGTCGCCTTTTCAAGATTCCGGAAGCCCAAGACGGCCCAAGATCCATCCAAGATGACCCCCCAGACAGCCCCAGGGGCCCCCAAGACAACTACAAGAGGACCCCAAGAAAGCCCCAAATTGGCCGAAGAGGCCATCAAGACGGCCTCAAGAAGGTCCAAGAGCCCCAAAAACGACCCAAGAGGGCCCCAAAAGTCCCCAAGACACCCAACACGACCAAGAGGGCCCAAGACGGCTCAAGAGGTCCCAAGAACCCCCAAATGATCCCCAAGAGTCCCGACAAAGGCACCAAAGAAGCCCCCAGGAGGGCGCCACAAACATCAAATCTGGGGTTACACAGCCAACTCCAAAAGAGGAGGCCACGACGCGCCATATGCGAGCCAACCGGTCTGAACAACAAAAAACTGCCCGGCGAGCGTGGCCGAAATTCAGGCCACCGATTCGGGCAAAGATGGCTTAACGCTGGTTCGCAACGCCGGCTCTGGGCAGGCTGCGCCGCCCGGAGAAGGGGGGGAAGGAGGAAGGGAGAGGAGGAGGAGGAGGAGGCAGGGTAGCACGGCCCCACGCGGGCCACATGAACACGGCCTGGCCCAGCAGGCCCCGGCAGCGGCCAGCTGCAGCCAGGCGGGCGCACTGCAAATTGACCCGTGCATGCCTGCCGGGGCGGAGGGAGAGGAGGACGAGGAGGAAGGCGAGGACGAAGAAAAACGCAGAGAGCAGACGCAGGCCAGGAGGGAGAGGGGGGAGCGGTAGGGGCAGCAAGCAGGCACGTCGGGGCGGACGGGGGGGCGGGCGGGGGCTGTCGTCAGCGGGACGTGATCAGCGGCCGCTGGGCGTCAAGGGGCTGCCGGGCGTCAAAGGGGGGGCGGGCGGGGGCGACGGCGGGGGCCGCGGGCGAAGGCGGCGGGCGGGGGGGGAAGGAAGGAGGACTGCCCTGGGGCTGCGGGCCGGCAGCTCACACGGCATCCGCCGTGGAGGCTGCTGTGGTCGCCGCCAGGCGCGCGGCCGTTGCCCCTGCTCGCGGCTGGAGGCGACGCAGCACTGCCCGCGCGTTCTCCCTGTGAAGGGAGATGGAGAGTCGCTGGGCAAGCTGGTCGGCCGCGAGCGCGGCGTCGTCCCCAGTGGCGTCGGCCGCGCGCTTGGCCAGCACCGCGAAGGCGCGTCGCGCCTCGCGGCCCCAGCCGCCGCCGTGGGCCTCGCACACCATCGGTATGAACGACAGGCCGGCCTCTGAGCAGCAACGCGCTGTGTCCTGGTGCAAGCGCTTCTGCTCCTCGCAGCGGGTCGCCGCTGCGTCGCCGCCGCCCACGGCGAAGTCCCACGCCGCCGGCGTGCCGCTCCGCCACCGCGGAACGAAAACGTCCGCCGGGCGCCGCCCGTTGCCGCCCAGGTCGCTGCCGCCTGCCTCCCCAGGCGGCGGGCCCTCGCCAGGCGCGCGCGGCGGCAGCAAGCCCGGGCACTCGAGCTCCGCCCCGGCGAAGCCAGCGGCCAGCGCCTCGTGCCAAGCCTGCTTGCGGAGGCAGTTGTGGCGCTTCGCGCGGTCGCCGTAGCAGCTCCAGGTGAGCGCGTGATCTGCGAACACGTCCATCACCTCTCCGCATGCCTGGCAGAAGGCTTCCTCGTCGCGCAGCTGGCGTCGAAGGCGGCGTCGCAGCGCCACCTGCATCAAGCTGCGCGGGAAATCGGTGCCAAGTGCCCAGCACGGGGGCGCCTGCAGGAAGGCGCCAGCGCATGGGGCCGCTACCAAGTTGAGGTGGGCCCTCGTGGCCGGCGAAGGAAGCGCGCTGCCAAATCTCGTCGCGGACGGCGTCGCCCACCTTTTCGGACACGAGCCGCTGGCCCCCGCGCTGGGCGGGGTCGAACTCGATCGGGTCCGCCGGCAGGACTGCGTCGTTGAAAGCCTGCGTCGCCGCCGCCAGGCTGCCCCCATCCCCGCCGTCGGTGTCGTCGCAAGCTGCGTAGATCTGTCGGCAGAGTTCGGCTCCGCGGGCGCGCGAGGCCAGGCAGGCAGCCGCGGCGTGTTTCTCGGAAGAGCGAAGTCCGAGCCCGCCTCGGTTGAGTTCGAGCTGCGCTTGCTTCCAAGAGCCCCCTGAAGGGGAAGACCCGCTGAGTTGCTCCAGGCGGGCGCGGACGGCGGAGCCCATGGCGTGCAGGGCGCCGGCGTGCGCCGTCGGCGGGATCACGCGCGCGGAGTAGCCCAGCTTGCAGAAAGAGGCACACTGACGGAGCAAGCGCATGGCCACCTGAGCGTTCTCCAGGGCCCCGACAGCTTCCAGCAAGTTAGCAGCCTTGGCCACCCGGTCCTGGGTGCGTTTCTCACAGAAACGGTCGTCTCCCACAGGGGCTCCCAAGAGCTCGAAACTGTTGTCTTCCCGGAGGCGGAAGCCCTGCGGAAACGCGGCCAGGTGAACGCTGCTGTCGGCGCCGCCGGCACGTTGGCGGGCACCACCTCGCACTTGCCAGGGCCAGTGCCGAGGTCCAAGCCGACCGCGGCCAAGCGCGCCACCAGGCGGCGCAGGAGGCGGGCGACTGCGGGCGCGCCCCCTGCCAGGCAGCCATCGCCCAGGTAGAAGAAAGCCAAGTCGAGCGAGCCGTCGGCCGGGTCGGCCTGTTCGGCGCGCGCCTCTCCGCGCAGCACTGCACGGCGAGCGCAAAGAGCAGCGGGTCGAGCGGGCCCCCCGTTGGACACCGCGTTCGGAGCGCAAGTCATTCTTCCCCAGGAACAACAGCTTCGGGGCGCCGCAACACCAATCCACGAAGGGAGCCAGGCCTGGGAAATCCTCGTGAACAGCTCGGAGGACCGCCTGCCTGTCCAGCGCGTTGACAGCGTTCGACAGGTCTAGCTTCACGAAGACCTTCTGGCGGTCGCCATGGTTTCGTTTCCGCCACTGTCGCGCGACGTGGACCGCGACCTCCGCGCCCCCGGGCACCGCCACCCCGAGCTGCAGTGGCGCCAGCCGCGCGCGCTGAGTCAGAATCTCACCGCAGAGACATTTGCCCGCCAAACGGCGCAGCGTCTCCCCGACGGCGACTGGCCGCAGACCGCCGCCTTTCTTCGGGGGTGCCGCCAGCGAAGCGCCCGCGAAGAACTTCGCTGCGGCGGGGGGCGCCTGCCCACGGGCTAGCAAGTTGGTCAGGCTTTGGAGCTGTTCCAGGACTTCGTCCCTGTGGGCAGCCGTCTGCAGGACGTCCTTGAGGCGTTGGGGTCGCAGACCAGTCGGCCCCGCCGCAGGCCCGCGAGGGAGGCGCGCACCTCCTCCCGTTCCACTTGCAGGGACGCCGCGGCGTGCACCGGGGGCAGGCTGGAGAGGTCCACCGCCTGGCGGCTGCGAGGGTGCTTGCGGCGCATCTGCTCGACGACCTCTGGGGTCACGTCGACGGGAGGCTCACTCACGAGAGCCGCGCAGCTCTTCGAATACTGCGCGTCGACCGCAAGCTCTAAGCACTTCTGGGCGCACTGTCGGCCTGGGAGTCCTGGGAGCCTCGCCGCTTCGTCTAGCAGCGCCCTGCTGTTTCGGCCCAGAGCGTTGCGAGCTCGCCCCCCAGCCACCGTCTGCAGAGCTCCCAGCGGAGTTTCTGCTGCCGCGGCCGCCGCGGGCGTGTGGCCGGAGTACGCACTTGGGCAGCATGGCAAGCTGGACCCAGGCGGCCTCGTTGTCGGCGTGCGTGGCCAGCGCCGTCGCCTGCCTGGACCAGGCATCGCGCCCACAGCGCCCGGGCGCCCTTGGGCACATACCGCTTGGTGCCCGCGCGCCTGGCAAAGACCTCCTGCAAGCAGGGTAGCTCCGGCGGTCGCGGCGCGGCGTCGTCGGCGGCCGGGGCGGCTCCGGCCGCGGCCGCCCGAGCGGCGGGCCGGCAGCGGAGGCATATGCCATTGAAGCGCGTGGCCAAGAAGCGCTGGCACACTGAGCACTGGCCCAGCCGGCGCTCGTCCAAATACTCTTGGGGGACCGGGGGGAGACCAGGGAAACGCCCAGCAGCGTGTTCATTCAGATGTTGCCGCATAGACTGGTGGTCAGCCCACCTTGCAGTGGTCGCCGGGTCCGCTCGGAGGCACCCAGGGACAGGGCAGAAGACCCGCGTACGCGGGCGCACGCGTCGGACGAACTCGGGGCCGTCGGGTGCTGCAGGCGGTGGTGGCGCTGCCGCGGCAGCTGCTGGGTGCTAGTGCGGCGGCGGGCGCTCGGCTGCTGGCGTGGCGGCCCCGGGCGGCGCTGCGTCTCCCCCAGCAGCCGCTCGCTCCAAGCGGCGCCGCTGCTCTGCCAACGGGATGCCGGCATCAACGTTCATATCCCGCTTTTCTGCATCGATGTGCAGCCCCTCCATCCGGAGTGCGACCTGCGGATCCAGCTCGTCGCCCTCCGTACTGGCGCGTCGCAGTTGGCGCCCTGGGGAATCCTGGGCCCGGCCAGCCTCCACAAAAGTATTGAGCACTGCAACGTCATGCCGCGGGAGCGCCGCTCCA